TTATTTCTGGAGCAGAGGAGGAGGAGCCAAGAGTTCATTTGACAGCATGTATATACAATTTAGTGAGCTGTTTCAGCAAAACAATTTGAAACTTCGGAAGATTTTTAGGTCACTTGAAAAATAAAATCCGCTGAGTTCGCAGTACTCAGGTTAATACTAACCATTTCGCTTTTCCAACACTTAATTGATCATGACAATTCAGATGCAATATCCGTTTGTCCTGTTTATTGCCGAGTCAGGGTAAATTGACGTTTGGAAAATCCCCGTAAATTGTTACCTGATTTGTCAGGTTGGTTCAATGCATAAATTCAAAAAATGGTCTAGGAAAATTTTCAAGCTCTCGACATTTGTTCAAAAGTCAGAAATTTGAATGATCTTTAGCCGAGAAAAAAAACATCATGTCACAGATTCTTGAGTTACTTTTTAAGTCCATTAAATTGGATTGTATTTTTTTCATACTAATATTAGAATGTTAGAGTTCTTTAACTCTAAAATGTATTCCTAAATCTCTAATTTTTTACGATCGAGATTTTAAGTCCTAGACGAATTCAATTTTGTTTTATGCCCGTGATCATTCCATCTGGGAAAATTTTCCTCGTGCCATAATAATAAAAAAAAATTCTTAAAAGTTGTCTAGATTCCAGAGTTATGATTCTTTTTCTATGTTTGAGGTATTACAGAAGATTCTATTCTTGGGACGAATTGAGGAAAGTAAAAAGACGACTATTTCGTAATATCGACTACAAAGAAGAGAAGAAACTTTTATTAATATAGATACTCATGGCTAGCTTAGATCTATATACATTTAATTCTGAACTGCAGTTCTTCATGTTGTTAAATGCATCGCTTCATATATATCTTAGATCTTCAAAAGTTGATGTGCTAAATTTGCAAAAAATGTCTAAAATCGGTACTTTGAACATTTTTCTCTATTCCTCAATTTCGCGGTCTAATAACAAATTCGTGATCTGCAGAGTGAGGAAATTTACTTACTTACTTACTTAAGGGTCCTGTGCACCACCAGCGGTGCAAAGGGCCAACGTGAAAGACTTCCATCCTGGGCGGCTGCTCGCTTTTGCCTTGACCTGGGCCCAGGTCAGATTCCTATCGACTTGCTTAAGAGGAAGCTCACCGGCCCAAAAATAAAAAAATATTTTCGGAACGATTCTATTTTTCTAAAAATATTGGGAAAAATTATCAAAAATCCAAGAAAATCAGTTTCTTCCTTAGATTTTTGTCAAAAATTACATGCAAAAAAAAATTTCTATCCCATCATGAAAAAAAATTGGACTCTCAGAAAAACCGAAAAGTTGATGTTTTGTGGTTTTTTGAGTCCAACTTTATGCCATAATGACTTATAAAAAATGTTTTCGCACGTGAATTTTCTTTGATAAATTAAAAAATATGTGATTTTCTTAGAATTTTGATATCTTTTTCCAATATTTTTAGAAAAATCAAAACGTAATTATTTTTTTCGGAGCGGTGAGCTTCCTCTTAATTTCCTTATTGTGGCTCCGCCGCCATGAGCCCCTGGGTCTGCCTCTGCTGCGGTGTCCTGCCGGATTCCAATCCAGCGCTTGCTTGCAGATTTCGTTTCCGCCCCGTCGAAGTGTGTGACCGACCCACCTCCAATTTCGCTCTCGAATTTCTGTTGCTATCGGCTTCTGATGACATCGACGATGGAGCTCGGCATTCGATATCCAGTTGTGAGGCCACCAGGCACGAATTATATACCGCAGGCATCGGTTGATGAAGACCTGCAGCTTTTGAGTGTTCTCCACTGATACACACCACGTCTCACTGGCGTACAACAACACAGATTTCACGTTCGAGTTGAAAATTCGGATTTTGGTGCGTTGACTTATCTGGTTGGATCTCCATACGTTTCATAAACTCGCAAAGGCAGTCCTAGCCTTCTTGATTCGTCCCGCCGTCCGACGCTATTTGGCTGCCAAGATATTGGAAACTTTCGACCTTCTCCACTGCTTGCCCCGCTACCGTAAAGTTGGAAGGGTTGCCCGTGTTGATATCCAACGATTCGGTCTTGTTGACGTTGATGGTGACACCCGCCACAGAGGAGCATTCGGCTACGTCATTGAGCGCCGTTGTGCTAGTAGAGCAACATCATCAGCCAAATCGAAGTCGTTGAGATGCTCCATGGTAATAGGCTGCCAAAGCAGCCCACGGTTCGGTACACGGTCAACGGCTCCAACCATGATCTCGTCGATTACGATGAGAAACAGTAGCGGTGATAGTATACATCCTTGTCTCACACCAGCGACTACCCGGATAGGGTCGGACAAGGCTCCGTTATGCAGAACTCTGCACGTGAAAGCCTCATACTGCGCTTCGATGAGGTTGACGATTTTATCCGGAACTCCCTTGCGTCTCAGGGCGCCCCACAGATTCTCGTGATTGAGACGGTCGAAAGCTTTTTCGTAGTCAATGAATACCAAATAAAGGGACTCTTGGAATTCATTGACCTGCTCCAGGATGATGCGGAGCGTGACAATATGGTCCACACAAGATCTTCCGGCACGGAATCCTGCCTGCTGCCGTCGGAGAGTCGCGTCCTGTATCCGATTCAGGATAACTTTGCACAGAACTTTGAGAACAATACACAGTTAAATGATGCCTCGCCAATTGTCGCACACAGTCAGATCCCCCTTCTTTGGGACCTTCACTAAGATGCCCTGCATTCAGTCGGCCGAAAAAGTCGCGGTGTCCCAGATATTACAGAATAGTTGATGCAACATTTGTGCGGATAGCATGGGGTCAGCTTTGAGCATCTCTGCTGATATGCGATCGACCCCTGGAGCCTTGTTGGATTTCATGCTTCGGATAGCTGCTTCAATCTCCTGCAGTGATGGGGCCTCGGAATTGACGCGAGTGATGCGCCGCACCCTAGGCGGATCATGCCGAGATGTTGATGGCTGGTTGGCCGTCGAAACTTGAAGAAGTTGTTCGAAGTGCTCAATCGAGTGGGGTCGGTAAGCAACAGTCGTGTCCTTCACTGGCATCCTCGGATTCATCCTTGCTCCATTCAGGCGTCGTGAGATTTCGTAGAGGAGCCGTATATCGCCAGTGTTTGCGGCTTTCTCCCCTTCGTCGGCCAGGGAGTTCACCCACGCTCGCTTGTCCCGTCTGCAAGAGCGCTTGTCTTTTGCTTCTCTACGCTCCTCAATCTTCCGCCAGGTTTCATCTATGATCCACTCTTTCCTCTGGGTACGCAGCTCACCCAAGTTGTTCTCGCTTGTTTCTATAAAGGTATTCTTGATGGCCGTCCATTGTTCTTCTACACTGCCACCTTCTGAAACGTCCGCAGTCCGAGTCTCAAGTTCTTCAACAAAAGACCTTTTTACCGCTGGATCTTCAAGTCGGCGTCTGTTGAACCGCCGCCCGAGTCTTTCCTCCCGTCGCTGGATCCGCGCCATGCGTAGGCGGATTTCGCCGATTAGAAGGTGATGGTCAGGCGCGATGTCGGCGCTGCGTTTATTCCGGACATCAAGAAGGCTCCGTCTCCATTTCCGGCTGATGCAGATGTGGTCGATCTGATTCTCAGTATGTCCATCACGGGAAACCCACGTGACTTTGTGCACTGGTTGATGGGGGAAGAGCGAGCCCCCGATCACCATGTCGTTATTGCCACAAAATTCTGCAAACAGCTCACCGTTCTTGCTCATTTCGCCGAAACCATGGCGTCCCATGATACGCTCATAGTCCGTGTTGTCGGAGCTAGATCTAGAGATCATTGGGGAATTTCAGATCTTAAGAGCAGTTCCCATAACTTTAGTCTAGACTTTTGGAGTTAAACTGCTCCAAAAGTCTAGACTAAAGTTATGGGAAATCTATAATCGTAAATTTAGAAAAATTCAGGATAGTTTCAAGATGTGCTGAAAAAAATCGAATCCATAGATGAGGAGATAAAAGTATTTGATAGCTCCGTTAGAGTACGGCAGTGTGAAATTGTATATATTGAGAGTCGAAAGCGAGTGAGGACAACTTTTATGAAGGTACAAATCGGTTTGATCATCTCTCTCTCTCTCCAACGGGGCAGTTAGGTAAAGAGAGACGATCAAACCGATTTGTACCTTCATAAAAGTTGTCCTCGCTTGCTTTCTACTCTATATATATATATAAACAAATTCACAATGCCGTACTCTAACGAAACTATCAACTCTATACTTTCATCTCCTCATCTATCGTATAAAAATTACCACTCTATTATTAGATAGTTTCCTGATATTAAGTGAAGTTCCGAGTACATACAGCATAATGCAATTCACTTAAGCAAATTTTCAGCAACTCACTTACAATAAGTTCTGTGGAATTATGGGGTATTCCAAGAATTTTATGATTAATCCGAAAACGTCAGAAGCGTCAGGGAATTATGAATATATATCAGAAAATTTGCCGGATTATTAACAAATTGAGAGAACTTCAAGTAGGCATCGATAAGTTCAGAACGTTTATAATGGTTATAACACAGACAAACAGACACAACACATTGAATATTTGTCACTGTAAAACATCATCGCTAAAACATTCCCGCCATCTGTTGAGTACACTGTGGTAGGCACTGCGTTGAACAGATGGCGGTAGTGTGGAGAGAATTGACTATGCGCGCCACAGGTGGCGGTACTACCAACTACGATACTTTTAAATTGTCCGTTAAATGCTTGTTCGATGAACTACTTGTGAGTGTTGTGTCTGTTTGTCTTTGGTTATAAGATTAGGTTAGGTTAAGTTTTCTATATAAACGAGGCTTTCAGTCTGGGTCTGATTCGCCTTTAGTTATAATACTGAAGGATTGAAACTTTCCTCAGAATTACCTTTGGTTCTCCCTTAGAATCCACCAGGAATTCAAATTTCTCGTTACAACCCTGAAATAGGTTTGTGACTCGAAGAGTTAATTTGTTTAAACATCCCAAAACATGTCTCCGTGACTTATAAATATGACCTATTTTTAACAATTTTCCTCCCTTTTATTCCCCTTCCAGAGGAGGAGGCAGGCGTAGACGAGACGGGTGCTGACACCTCTCTGGCTGCGGAGGAGAACTCTGAAGACGAAGCGCTGAAGACCGTAGCGCAAGCGCAGGACGAAGACGAAGACTACGAGCCGGAAGACAACCGCAGCAAGAAGAGCAAGAAGGGTAAGAAGCGCAAGGCGCGTGGAGAAGAGAAGAGCAAGGGTCGCAAGAAGAAGAAGCGAAAGAAGAACGACAGTGGAGACGAGAGCGAAGTCCGGCAGAGTGACGATGGAGGAGCCGTCGCTGCGGATTCGGATTACGAGAGGCCCAAGCGAAGCTCTCGCGACAAGAAGAAGGGCAAGGACGAGAAGAAGGAAGACAAAAAGGGCGACGCCGATTACAACATGCCGTCGATCGAGGAGGTTTGCAGTACGTTCAATCTGACCGATGTCAAGATCGAGTACAGCGAGGAGGATTATGACAACTTGGTAACTTACAAGGCGTTCCTACAGCATGTTAGGCCGATCTTGCAGAAGGAGAACCCGAAGGCTCCGATGTCAAAGCTAATGATGTTGATTCCGCCCAAGTGGCGAGAGTTCAGCGAAGAGAATCCAAATCTCCAGAACGAGGAAGCAGAGGAAAAGGAAGAAGAGGAGCCACCGCCATCGCCAGAATATGTTCCAAAGTCTAGTCGTTCGAGGGCTAAGATCGAAAAGAGAGATGAGGATATGATCTACGATGACGATGACGATGATGAAGAGGAACTGGAGAGGGAGAGGAGCAAGAAGAAGAGCAAAAAGGGTGCTTCAAGTGCTAAAAAGGGCAAGAAGCCAAAGGTACCGACACTGAAGATCAAATTCGGCAGGAAGAAGAACGCCAGCTCCGACGAAGATCCGGATGCCAGCAACGGTTCGGAACGGGACTCGGATGCCGAGTTCGAAAAGATGCTCCAACAGTCGGAGGAAAAAGCGGATAAGGAAAAGGATAAACCAGAAAACGACTCCACTGCTCAAGCGGAAGGGGCTGATCCTCCGGTTCGCAAGAAGGCCAAAACTAAGATCGGAAACAAATCCAAGAAGAAGGGTCGTTCGAAGAAGAGAGCAGAGGGCGAGGATGGAGAATTCGAGCATCAGGATTACTGCGAAGTCTGCCAGCAGGGAGGCGAAATCATCCTTTGCGATACTTGCCCGAAAGCGTACCATCTGGTATGTTTAGATCCAGAACTGGAAGACACTCCGGAGGGCAAATGGTCCTGCCCGACTTGCGAGGCCGAAGGGCCGGCAGATGATGACGATGACGAACATCAGGAGTTCTGCCGGGTCTGCAAGGACGGTGGAGAGATGCTTTGTTGCGACAGTTGCCCATCCGCTTATCATACGTTCTGTTTGACACCGCCTCTGGACGACATTCCCGACGGTGACTGGCGTTGTCCACGTTGCAGTTGTCCTCCTATTCCCTACAAGGTTCAGAAGATTCTTACCTGGCGTTGGACCGATAAACCGATCGATCTTAACGAACCGTCAACTTCGAAGGCAGTACCATCCCGCCGTAGGGAGTACTTTGTCAAATTCGCCGACATGTCCTACTGGCACTGTGATTGGGTCACGGAACTGCAGTTGGATGTCTTCCATCCACTGATGTACCGTTTCTACATACGGAAGTACGACATGGAAGAACCTCCGAAGCTCGAGGAAATGCTGGACGAGGAGGATGGCCGTTACAAGCGTATTCTCAAGATGCGTGAAAGTGACCGCGACGATACGGAACTGGAGGAGAAGTTCTACAAGTATGGTGTCAAACCGGAATGGCTGATGGTCAATCGGGTCATCAATCATCGGACCATGCGCGATGGGCGAACACTGTACTTTGTCAAATGGCGTGAACTGTCCTACGATCAAGCCACTTGGGAAGAGGATGACGACGAAATTCCAGGATTAAAGACGTTTGTCGAGTATTATCTGGATCTGCGCGCAAATTGCAACAACGAAATGAACAGCAGTGTCAGTAGCAAAAAGAACAAGAAGAAGGGCCGCAAATCGAGAACCAAAGAGCTAGAGGACGATGATCGTATAGGACCGAGGCGTTACACGCCCCCACCAGATAAACCGACGACGGATCTGAAGCGGAAGTACGAAGTGCAACCGTCGTATTTGGACGACACTGGCATGAGGCTGCATCCGTATCAGCTGGAAGGTATCAACTGGTTGCGTTACTCCTGGGCCAATGAAACCGATACCATTCTGGCCGATGAGATGGGTCTGGGTAAAACCATTCAAACGGCGACCTTCCTCTATTCGCTGTACAAGGAAGGTCACTGCCGGGGACCTTTCCTGGTGGCGGTCCCGCTCTCTACGATCATCAACTGGGAACGTGAGTTAGAGACGTGGGCTCCCGATCTCTACTGTATCACCTACGTCGGAGACAAGGACTCGCGAGCGATCATCCGAGAACACGAACTGTCATTCGAGGAGGGTGCTGTCCGAGGTGGACGAGCCTCCAAGATTCGAGCCAGCACGCTCAAGTTCAACGTGCTGTTGACGAGCTACGAAATGGTGTCGTTCGATGCCGCTTGTCTTGGTTCGATCGACTGGGCCGCACTGGTAGTCGACGAAGCGCATCGTTTGAAATCCAATCAGAGCAAGTTCTTCAAAACGCTTTCGAACTACAACATCAACTACAAGCTGCTGCTGACGGGTACACCGCTGCAGAACAACCTGGAGGAGTTGTTCCATTTGCTGAACTTCTTGAACAAGAACAAGTTCAACGACTTGAGTACGTTCCAGGCGGAGTTCGCCGATATCAACAAGGAGGATCAGGTGAGTTGTGCGTTTCATTATTAGATGATATTGGGGTGTGATCGATACTGAGTGCTGACCGTTACGTTATGGAACAATACAACAGCTGAATTGTAAGACCCACGTCCTCGCTATGTCGATTTGTCCATGCCAATGGTTTCGCTCTGTTTGTCCAACCTCATTCCTTCCTGGTTTATTTCGTTCCGCCTACTAGGTGGCTTCCTAAGCCCTCTATTAAGATCAGAAAGTGGGCGGCTTCAGTTCGTAACTCTTCCGTCCATGTTTTTTAAGGTTAGAACCGTTTAGGGAGTCCCGGATATTCGTTGTGATTTCGCCCGGGAGTTTCTGTCTTCCTTTCGGAAGATTCTTCCGCTTCTTTCAAGCTAACTCAGGAGGTGTCTTCCAGCTTCCATCTTCTCCCGGCCACATTTTCAACTTGGATTGGAAATTTCTTTCGAGTTCTCCCAAAAGTTTCTCCAGATTTCAACTAACTGGATATTTATTCCTATATTCTTTTGGCTTCCTCTGGAATGGTCTTTCGGTTACCCAAGAAGCTGTAATCGATTTATTCTGAAAGATTAATCTCAGTTCCCTCTAAAGATTTAAGCGACTTTTACTGGAACGAACTGTCTTCGGAATTTCTCCAGAAGCGTTTTTGTAACTTCCGACCGTTCCCGGAAGCGTCTCCAAACTTTGTTGGGAAATTTTAATTTTTGCTTTATTCCTTAAAAAGTTTCCGCCTTCTTTTAGAGTTATCTCCTGTCTTCTACCGAAAGTGTTTCATATTTTTCCAGTTTTTCCGCTTTTTTTTGTTTCAACCTTATTTTTTTCGATTTCTCCGGAAGTTAAATTCAATTACTCCAGAACTTTCTTCCTGTTCCCCCCAAATGTATATCTAAACTTACCGCAGAAGCCTCTTCTATCCTTCCTCGGATGTTTCTTCTGAATTTCCCCGGTTGGTTGAACAAATTAGTTGTTTACTGGAAAACCGATTCAGATTCTCGGAAAGTGGAAATCGTGATGTTTAATAAATTTACCGAAATTGGTTTCCCTCGGGTAGAAGACACTACCGAGGATCACCCCATCCTAGTTAAGTAATCCTTCCGTTCAGGCACGATAAGGTTCTGCTCCCAATGATTCGATCGTACAACTAATAGTCATCTTCCCATTGCTTACCTGCTTTACGATTACTGAACGTCTATTCTCCTCCTACACCCCTACCTCACCTCCTTAGGTAAAAAAATTGCACGAAATGTTGGGTCCGCACATGCTGCGTCGTCTCAAGGCGGACGTCCTGAAGAACATGCCCACCAAGTCGGAGTTCATCGTCCGTGTCGAGCTGTCCCCACTGCAGAAGAAGTACTACAAGTACATCCTGACCCGTAACTTCGAAGCCCTGAACCCGAGGGGCGGCGGCGGTGCATGCTCGCTGATCAACATCATGATGGATCTGAAGAAGTGCTGTAACCACCCGTATCTGTTTCCAGCGGCTGCCGAGGAGGCTCCCCTCGGTCCCGGTGGAAGCTACGAAAACCAAGCACTGACCAAAGCTGCCGGAAAGTTGGTCCTGCTGGAGAAGATGCTGAGGCTGTTGAAGGAACAAGGACATCGTGTGTTGATCTTTTCGCAAATGACAAAGATGTTGGACATTATGGAGGACTTCTTGGAAGGATTTGGGTACAAGTACGAGCGTATCGATGGTGGCATCACAGGAACGTTGCGCCAGGAAGCGATTGACAGGTTCAATGCTCCGGGTGCTCAGCAGTTCTGTTTCTTACTGTCCACCAAAGCCGGAGGTTTGGGTATCAACTTGGCAACGGCTGATACAGTCATCATCTACGATTCGGATTGGAACCCTCACAATGATATTCAGGCGTTTTCACGTGCTCATCGTATTGGTCAAGCGAACAAGGTTATGATCTATCGATTTGTGACGAGGAATTCCGTGGAGGAGCGAGTGACGCAGGTTGCCAAGAGGAAGATGATGTTGACCCATTTAGTGGTACGACCAGGAATGGGTGGAAAGGGAACCAACTTCACCAAACAGGAGTTGGATGATATTCTTCGCTTCGGTACGGAGGAGTTGTTCAAAGAAGATGGAAAGGACGAAGAAGCTATCCATTACGATGACAAGGCTGTCGCAGAGCTGCTGGATCGTTCCAACAAAGGTGTGGAAGAGAAGGAAAACTGGGCGAACGAGTATCTGTCGTCGTTCAAGGTCGCTTCCTATTCGACGAAGGAAGACGTGGAGGAGGAAGTCGATACGGAGATCATCAAACAGGACGCGGAGAATTCGGATCCCGCTTACTGGGTCAAGCTGCTGCGACATCACTACGAGCAGCACCAGGAAGATCTCTCGCGAACGCTGGGCAAAGGAAAGCGTGTCCGCAAGCAGGTTAACTACACTGATGGAGGAGTGGTACAAGCTGATCCGGTCAAAGAAGATTCTACCTGGCAGGAGAATGTTTCGGATTATAATTCGGACTACTCCGGAAATTCCGATGACCAGGGCGATGAGGATGATGAGGACGGAGATTTGAACCGTCGTAGCAAGAGGAGAATCGAGCGCAATCAAGCCGAGAAAGATAATCGTCCTCTACCGCCGTTGTTGGCACGAGTCGGTGGTAACATCGAGGTCCTAGGCTTCAACGCTCGCCAAAGGAAGAGTTTCCTGAATGCGATCATGCGCTACGGAATGCCTCCACAGGATGCTTTCAACTCACAGTGGTTGGTACGGGATTTGCGAGGCAAATCCGAGCGAAACTTCAAGGCATACGTTTCACTCTTTATGAGACATCTGTGCGAACCGGGTGCGGATAACGCGGAAACCTTTGCCGATGGAGTACCACGGGAAGGTCTTAGCCGGCAGCATGTGCTGACTAGAATCGGTGTCATGTCCTTGATCCGGAAGAAGGTGCAAGAATTTGAGCACATCAATGGGTACTACAGTATGCCGGAGTTAATCAAGAGGCCGTGCGAGCCGGTCAAGTCTGCAATAGGAGATGCTAGCAGTGAGACACCGAAGTCGGCAACGACCAGCACGAGTGCTACTCCGGCGACCAGCGCTGCTCCTAGCCCAGCTCCGACGCCAGTCGATAAAGAGGACGATACTAGTACTTCAGCGGAAGATAAGGAGAAGAAGGAGGTGGCGGAAGATAAAAAAGAAGACGTAAAGAAGGAAGGATCGGAAGTTGCAGGAGACAAGCCGGATGGGGATAAGAAGGCTGAAGAAAAGTCTGAATCTGTAGAGGTGAAATCCGAGGAGGATGTGAAGAAAGAAGGAGAATCCTCGGATGAGAAGAAGTCGGAGGGTGATGATGTCAAATCGGAAGATTCCAAGGACGAAACCAAGGCTGATAAGCCTAAGGAGGAAGATAGCAAGAGCGAAGCTCCCGCCTTGGTCGAAGCCAAGAAGGAAGAAATCGATGACGATGATGTCAAGATCACATCGGACAAGAAGGAAGAGGACAAACCAATCGCGATTGACGACGATGATGATGATGTTGTTATCGTCAAAGATGATGACGAAGATATCAAGAAACCGCCCGGTAAGGCGGAACAAATTGAAGTTCACAAGCGGCAGTTTATGTTCAACATTGCCGATGGAGGATTCACGGAACTGCACACTCTTTGGATCAACGAAGAGAAGGCAGCCGTTCCCGGAAGGGAGTACGAAATCTGGCACCGCCGTCACGATTACTGGCTGTTGGCCGGTATTGTCACTCACGGCTACGGTCGCTGGCAAGATATTCAGAACGATATCCGGTTCGCAATCATCAACGAGCCCTTCAAGATGGATGTCGGCAAGGGTAACTTCCTGGAAATCAAGAACAAATTCCTCGCTCGTCGCTTCAAGCTTCTGGAACAGTCCCTGGTCATCGAGGAACAGCTTCGACGCGCTGCAGTTTTGAATCTGGCCCAGGATGCCAGCCATCCGGCAATGGCCCTGAATGCTCGCTTCGCCGAAGTCGAGTGCCTCGCCGAATCCCATCAGCATTTGAGCAAGGAATCTCTGGCCGGAAACAAACCGGCCAATGCCGTCTTGCACAAGGTTCTGAATCAGCTGGAGGAGCTTTTGTCGGACATGAAGAGCGATGTTTCCCGTCTACCGGCCACCCTGGCCCGCATTCCACCCGTTGCTCAACGGCTGCAGATGTCCGAACGGTCGATCCTGTCCCGGCTGGCGGCCACTGGAAACACCGTACAGCCAAATCGTAAGTGTAATTGTCCACTCTTCCACCAAACTGGAAGTTAATGGAATTTAAATTTTTCTCTTATTTGTTTTTTTTTCTCGAAAAAGCAGCTCCCCTTACGCAGTTCCCGGCCGGCTTCCAAGGGACAAGCTTACCTGGATTTGCGGCGGCAGCTGCCGCAGCGGCAAACTTTGCCAACTTCCGACCGACGTTCTCGGTACCGGGACAACCAACGCCGAGCTACCCCAGCGGCTCCGGAACGTCCAAATAAATCGCTCCCGGCGAACAGGATAAGAAAGAAAGTTCATTCTACCCATTCGCTTACGATTTTAGTTGTATACTAATTATTATGTATGTGTATTACGATATATTGTAGGTTTAGATTTTAGATTCCTTCCTCTGTGTTCTATCCTTTGACCTCTTTTTTTCCCTTTGTGTGACCCTAAGGGAAGATCTCCTTGAGCACTGTTTCCTTTTTCGTTCCCAATCTGCTCCCCGTAAAAGTTTGAATCTAATGTGAAAACTTCTTTTTTGTGAAGATTTTTTTTTATTTATACTCTTCCACCCACACGACATCCCCCAATTGAATGAAATGAGCAGAAAATAATACAAAAGTTATTAAATTGGTCAAAAACAAACTACGTTTTACGATTAAGATGACTTAGTTGAGTGATAACACTAGAATTATCAAACCATACAGATTAAAGTATAAACGGATCCAATTTGAAAATCAATAAAAAAAAACTGAATAAAACATCTTGTTGGTGTCTGGCGTAGTTTTTCGTGTTGTGTGTAGCTGCACCGGGAGGTTGTGAGTAGAAAGAAAGAATACTGTCCTTTTCATTGTTGAGTGTACAACTTCAACCGATTGGGTTTTCATGTTCATTCGTGTCTACTTTCAGGGTGAAGAAATAGTAGAGATTTTTCCTGATAATGGGATGAAGTTTATTTGAAAAGGTACAAGATTTTTGGATTGTAGGGGTAATGGATGAAATGTCGGCCTAAATACCCCTTATTTGAGCCCATATATAAATTCTCGCGTAACATTTGAATAGGGCCTATGATCAAAATGTAAACAAACCGATTTTTGATACCATTCTGTAGCACTGATAATTAGCTACCAGTCGTATAGGAATGTTCCGCATTAGTCTAGTACTTGAAAGAATCCTGGAAAATGATACATCTATCATTTTTCTTGTCATTATTAATGCCTGCTGCACATCAAGGATGTGAAACAAACAATAAAGCGGCCAGGCCTACTGTGTAGCGTTAAGTTAATTTTTGTGGAAGTGAATGTTTACCATGTCTACTTAATAAGTATAGACAGTGGTTAACATTTAATCCACAGGTAATCAAAGAGCGGGGACATACCGTACCAACCGCTCCGTATGCAGGGCTATATAAATCGTTGGGAGTGACAGAGCTAAGAAAGTTAATGTACACTCCTTGATTGTCCGATCTCCTGGGATGGAACACAGGTATTTACCCCTTGTGTTCGAGCGTACAGTCCTCCCTCCGTACAAGCGTGGACGGCACCGCCATCCCACTGCCATCCCTCAATCGATCCAGCCGACCTCAGTCGAAGGACAACAGAGAGCGGTGTGCGGACGTAACCTATACGGAGGGAATGCTGTATTCGCCTAGGTTATAGCGCCTTTGCTCGCTACCATTTTCTTCTAGCGGTTGGGACCTGAGCACTAACTCTTGTCCTAGCCCTATATGGCATATGGTTATAGCGCCATTACTCGCTTTCTGAAAAGAGAAGAAGGGAAGGGAAGGAGAGGAAAAGGACTTGGGAAAAGGAAATGCGGAATTCCTTTCCTCATTAGTATTTGTATCGTCAACTTTTATGAAAACTATATAAATCATTCTTCCTTGGTCAGAGGTATTATTACGACATTTGAATAAGATTGTCTTATCATTTCCCTAATAAAAATAACCATAAAAGATAGCTTAACGACGTGTTCGGGGTATCATCCAAACCCTATGTGGGATGGTTTACCTATCCGAGATACAGTTCGTTTATGGTATTTGTTTATTAGGGTTGTTATTCAAAATTTAATGTTATAATGATCAACATAGCTTTGGATTATCCAATATAAATCGGTAACACTGTCCTGCAACCGATGTAGGAAGCACCAAAGAATATATATAGACAAATCTCAAAAACACAGTTTTAACTGATAGTACTTTATAAACATCAAACTGTCCAATATTGGATCCTGCCAATTATTAGCACCAGAATAAATTGCAACGGACTCACCAAATTGATCCATGAACGATGTCTTGTTACAGTGATCTCCATACTCAAGGGTTGGTTGACTGGGCTCGAAAATAGGTTTTCCTATTCTTAGTATCGGACAAGCGAACCAAAAATCCTGTATGGCCAATCAGTTGATTAGTCAGATGATGAAAGCACAATTGTGGCTGAATGGATTCAGGCTGCTAATCGGAGAATCTGACCCACTTGTAAGGAACACAAAGAGCCACAAAGAACAACCAATGGTGCTAGGTTCCGAGATGATCAGTGGTTTAAGAACTCTGGGGTGGCAAATAGTTGAAGGAACACTAATTACAACTTCACAAAAGTCTAGAAAAAACGGAGCAAAAATTGACGGCTGAAAATTTTCTAAGTCTCTCTTCGAGCACCGTATAGGAATGTTCCGCATTATCGATAAAAATCATTAAAAATAACTTGATTTTAAAAACGGCCGATCCACGAAATTTTTCCAATCATTCATGCTAAAACGGCCTAACCTCGGGCCTAACATATATTTTTTTTTCGCTCGATGAGGTTCCATTCATAAGCCTAGCGACGTAGAAGGGCCGATGATTGAAAAATTTCAAATCAAAGCTAGGCCCTACTGCTTGAGGCAGGGCCGATGATTTATTTGACGTTAAGAAAAGGCTTAGCAAAGGGCCTACAATTTATGATGACAAGCACAACGGCTTAACAAAAAGGGCCTAACCATTTAAAGATTCACAAAAAGGCTTATTACTGTGATATTAAATTTTTATCGATTTTCATGTATTTTTGAAAACGTTTCGCATGTTTTGGATATTGTGTACTGAGATATAGTTACTATTGTTATTGTGAACAATATAAATGCCTAAAATACTTCAATTTATTTATATAGGAATTAAATACTGGCGGAAAAATTTACAATTCATTTTCTGGATTGTTTACATTTTGGACATAGGCCCTTTTCAAATGTTACGCGGGAATTCAGCAATAGACTGAATTTTCAATAGCGACCACAAATAACCAGTAATATCGTCCCAATAACGCGTTCATCTAGAAAAAAAGATAAATAGCAGATTTTTAGCGATCGGCCCAATCTTAGAGCCATTTAGTTGAGTAGAATTAAATGGAAGATAACCTTTTTTGCGGAGCGATACAGACAAGCGCGGAACAGACAAAACTCGGTTTTCCGAAGGAAGAACCGTCAGCAGGAAGACCGAGATTGCGAGGCGATGGAAAATCTGTACCGCGTAAACGACACACGGAAGTTTTACGAGAAGCTAAATAGTTCGCGCAAAGGCTACGTGCCGCAAGCCGATATGCGCAAGGACTTGGACGGTAACCTTCTCACGAACGAGTGTGAGGTGATTGAGAGGTGGAAGCAGTACTATGACGAGCACCTCAACGGTGAAGCAGCAGAAAACGAAGGTGGCACGGCAACAGACCTTGGAGCACGCGCAGAAGACGACAGGCTACCGGCCCCTGATCTTCAAGAAGTTGAGGAGGAGATCGGTCGGCTGAAGAACAACAAAGCAACTGGTGTAGATCAACTACCAAGTGAGCTATTGAAATACGGTGGTGAAGCACTGGCTAGAGCGCTGCACTGAGTAATTGCCAAGATTTGGGAGGAGGAGATATTACCGGAGGAGTGGATGGAAGGTGTCGTATGCCCAATCTACAAAAAGGGCGACAAGTTGGATTGCTGCAACTACCGCGCGATCACACTGCTGAGCGCCGCCTACAAGGTACTCTCCCAAATGCTATGCCGCCGTCTGTCACCATATGCAAGAAAGTTGCCCGCGCTACCACGGACCAAATTTTCGCGATTCGGCAGGTTCTGCAGAAATGCCGCGAATACAACGTGCCCACACATCATTTGTTCATCGATTTCAAATCCGCATACGACACAATTGATCGAGATCAGCTATGGCAGATTATGTACGAGCACGGATTTCCGGATAAACTGACGCGATTGGTCAAGGCGACGATGGATCGAGTGATGTGCGTTGTTCGAGTATCGGGGACACTCTCGAGTCCCTTTGAATCTCGAAGGGGGTTACGGCAGGGTGATGGACTTTCGTGTCTGCTGTTCAACATCGCGTTAGAAGGTGTGATCAGAAGATCTGGGATAGACACGAGTGGCACGATATTCAGGAAGTCCATCCAGCTCCTTGGTTTCGCCGATGACATTGACATTATGGCACGGAACTTTGAGATGATGGCGGAAACGTACAACAGACTGAAGGCTGGAGCTAGACGGATTGGACTTGCCATCAACGCATCAAAGACAAAATACATGAAAGCAAGAGGTTCTAGGGAAGACAATGTTAGCCTCCCACCCCGAGTTCAGATTGACGGTGACGAAATCGAGGTGGTCGATGAGTTCGTGTATTTGGGCTCACTGGTGACCGCCGAAAATGATACCAGCAGAGAAATTCAAAGACGCATTATGGCAGGGAATCGTGCCTACTTTGGACTCCGGAGGACGCTCCGGTCGAATAAAATTCGCCGCCGCACGAAGTTGACTGTCTACAAGACGCTGATTAAACCGGTGGTCCTTTACGGCCACGAGACCTGGACTATGCTCGTGGAGGACCAACGCGCCCTTGGTGTTTTCGAACGGAAGGTGTTGAGTACCATCTACGGTGGAGTGCAGATGGATGACGGAACGTGGAGGAGGCGAATGAACCACGAATTGCACCAGCTGCTGGGAGAACCATCCATCGTCCACATTGCAAAAATTGGGCGACTACGGTGGGCTGGGCACGTCGTAAGAATGCCGCACGACGACCCAGTGAAAATGGTTCTAGAAAGCGACCCAACAGGAACAAGAAGAAGAGGCGCGCAGCGGGCAAGGTGGATCGACCAAGTAGAAGGTGACCTGCGGACCCTTCGCAGACTACGAGGCTGGCGAACTGTGGCCATGGATCGAGTAGAGTGGAGACGACTTCTTCGGACAGCAGAGGACAACAAGGCCTTAGTCTGATTGGTAAGGTAAGTAACCGTGAGCGGTCAATCATGCTCATGCTCAGTTGTCATTCTTGCCTTCATTGCAAGGTCGATTTGATCGATTCTATTTATACCCTTCGGAGTATTGAAACACCCTCCAAAGGAATCGGTGATCTACCCGCGTTAGGTTAATCTATGAACTAAACCCTACGTGACTGTAAAATCGATCTTTCCTTATGTGGTATTGATGCATGTTAACTTTTCGCGGCTGTCGGATTCAACGCGCCTACGTCTACGGAGCTTACGCAGAAGTGATACGCAATTTGAGCTTATGTAGCATAGAATTTGTTCGGTGCGGTCGCGAAATCTTGAAATGATTGATGCGTTCTTTAAATTAACTAATTTGATACAAAGCTCAGTAGTAAATAAGTAGAATATCTAGGGAGGAAACCAAAATTAATCAACTTGGCAACATAGGTTATCACATTTATTTTGGTGGCACTCTTTAAATGATAACACTAGTTTACAGCATTTTTGAACTCG